GATCAAAACCGGAAATGACAGTACTCACCATAACGGACCGGACAGTATAAATTCCAAGCGGTGTAGAATAACATCGCTTCATCGGAGGCTCCACTGATGATGTCACCTAGCATGGCGACGAAACATCTGAACAAAAACAAGCCAGCTCGGCGAGCAAGTCAACAACCTCTTTCTGTCCTTGTTTCTGATGAGATACAGGCGTTAAAATTCTTAAGACAGCCCTGAGGTCTGGAGACCCCCTGCCATGCCACCCCTCAGAAGACTTGGTCTAAGAGACTTTGGCTAACACCAAGCACTGGTCAAGAACAGGGACTATGATTGGCTCTTTCTGTGGCCTGTTCTTGTGAATATTAGCTGTGTTGTGTGAGCTCTGCGCTGTGCTCCACCTCTATTGGCATGGAGGAGTTCGACTGGGTTAGAGGGTTGATGGAGAGCTGCTCAATAATCTCACCACCTCATGAACACATACCACACTATGTATAGACATCTACCCAATGCAAAATGAGAGAAACAGATGGAGGGACTTTAGCTTGAGATAACTTTCCAAGATCTCTGTCGATTATGTCACCGTTTATAATTAGCAGTGATGTATTGATATTGATCTATAGATTCGAAGTGGAAACTTCTCGACAGGTTTTCAGCTACCGCAAACAACAGTGATAATGCGAATAATCCATTCTCATGGTGATGGTTGAGAGATCAAAATACAGGAACAGAAGGAAGATGAGGCCATTCAGCTCACCCCCCCACCACCAACAGACAAGGATTGATGACAGAGAGAGAGGAATTAAAAATGAAGAGTCATCCAAGAGAAAATGTAACAAATACACAAAGGTGCTATATGAATGCATGTTGTTACTGCCGTCTTACATGAAGGCAGTTTGGAGTGAAATGCTGATCCAAACTTGGTGGGCAAGGCAGTTTTTGCCATTTCCCCCAAAGTAGCCACAGTACTAACTGATAACTAATGATTAAATGGTTACTTGCTAATGACCATGAATGGCGATGTTTTCTCACTGCAGCTATCAAGTGAGTATAGGAGCATTTTGATATCTGGGCATTTGCTGGTTACAATGAAGGGGTTCAAGGACATATCACTGATCGTAGCTCAAAGTCTACATCCTGCAACATATATTGCTATTCACATCCAATGACAGAATTTCAACATCACATACTACAAGAGAATTTCCATTCTAACCCAAGTAATGGACTTGTTGACAGGTACATCACAGTTTGTAGAATTGCACTGCACTCTCTGTGTGCGTGGCCCATACATGAACATTTCATATTAGATTGATTCCAAGCCAGTGCCACATGACACCAGACTTCTGTAGTATACTCAAGTGAAATGATAACAATCTTACAGTCATAGAAATATACAGCACGGAAACAGACCCTTCGGCCAACCTGTCTATGCCAATAAGATATCCTATATAAATCTAGTCCCATTTGCCAGCATTTGGTCCATACCCCTCTAAACCCTTCCTTTTCATGTACCCATCCAGCTGCCTTTTAAATGTTGTAATTATACCAGCCTCCATCACTTCCTCTGGCAGCTCATTACATACACGCACCATCCTCTGCATGAAAAAGTTGCCCCTTAGGTCCCTTTTAAATCTTTCCCGTCTCACCTTAAACCTATGCCCACTAGTTTTGGATTCCCCTACCCTGGGGAAAAAGACCTTGGCGCTACATCCTATCCATGTCCCTCACGTTTTTATAAACCTCTGTAAGATCACCCCTCAGCCTCCAGTGCTCCAGGGAAAATAGCCCCAGTCTATTCAGCCTCTCCCTATAGCCCAAACCCTCCAATCCTGGCAACGTCCTTGTAAATTTCCTCCAAATCCTTTCAAGTTTCACAACATCCTTCCTATAGCAGGGAGACCAGAAATGAACGCAGTATTCCAAAACTGGTCTCACTAGTGACACATACGGCCACAACATGACATCTCAACTCCTATACTCAATGCACTGACCAATAAAGGCAAGCATACCAAATGCTGCCTTCATTATCCTATCTACCTGTGACTCCACTTTCAAGGAACTATGAACCTGCACTCCAAGGTCTCTTTGTTCAGCAACAGTCCCCAATCTTGATGTCTCTTCTCTTCATACCACTGTGTCCCAGCATTTTCTCTTCATTTTTTAAAATTAAACCAAATCAACTTATTTAAGCCTTAAATGGACACCATATGTCAAATCACCATCCTAAAGGAAGGGGCTTACATGGCACAGTGATAATGTTCCTACCTCTGAGCCAGGAGACCTAGGTTCAAGTCCCACTTAATCCAGAGGTGTGTCATACCCTCTCCAGGCAGGTTGGTTAGAAAATACAAAAGGGAAAAAATATCAAGGGAACTTTACAAGGCTTAAATCAAAAATTTAGTTTGGGCAGTTTCCTTTATACAATTTTAAATAAAGCCATGAAAAAAATTAAGTCAAATTAAACCAAACAGCCCCATAAAGGCGCTGTGTAACTTAAGATAAATCCAATTAAAATGTGCTTTTGAGAGTCTCTCTTTACAAGTACTCCAGGTTCTTAAGTAAACAATGTCCTTCATTGGTGTATCTTACCAAAATAATTAACATACCCAAATAATTAACACCTCAGCCATTGGTCTGCTAGACCAACAAGCCCCCAGGAAGGGTAGGGCTGAAGAAACTATTTTATCTTTCTGTGCCTAAGGTATTTTTGGAGACAATCAGGTCTTCTCTGGGATCAATTACCTTTCTTCAATGCAGTTCTGAGGTCTTCAGTATTGTGGAGTGAGAAATTAGTGTTGTTTGGGTGTAGCATTCTCTCTTTGGGAGTTTCCAGCAAACGCATAAAAGCATGAGAAGGGTGTTAGGTGTAGTTTAACAGGTGAGTCTTACACTCATCCAACACTCCCCCACCACAACCCCCATTGAGATTCTGGGTTGGATCCTATATGGAGATCCATGTTCCCACCCTATACTTCAGTCTTGACCAATCTGCTCACTCTGAGCCTTCCCCTAAACCCATCATAATTTTGGAAATGCAGAATTACACGGGCAATTATTATGAACTCTGTTACTATATTATTCTGAACCTCAGGCTTTTCATTTATGAATGTAGATGCTACTGTCAAAGCACAGATTGCTAAATAAATGAACTTATCTCTGGTTTTGGACTTTGAATTCCTCCTTATTCCCGATTACAAAATACTCCTCCTAAGTGTGAGCTTCCGTCATCAACTTGGATAGAAGCAGTTTAACAACTGTTACAAGTATCGTCCCGACCAATACCTGGTGAGAACAGCTGCCAATCTACGCCACATTGTTTGCACCATATAATCAGAGGAACATAGGAAATAGGGGCAGGAGTGGGCCATTCTGCCTTCGGGTCCGTTCTGCCATTCAAGATCATGGTTGACCAAGCCATATCCCTTGATGTCTTCGACATCTCTAAATCTATCTGTATTTGTCTCATACATTTTCAAATGTCTGAGCTTCCACCGTCCTTCTGAGCTTCCACCATCCTCCAAGACAGTAGACAGTTCCAATGACTCAACCCCTCGCAGTGAAGAAATTCCTCCTCATCTCAACAACAAACGACCCTCCTCTAGCCAGAGTCTGCAATCACCTGATTTTAGACAGCCCCAAACCAACCAACCCCACCACCCACCTCACTGTAACATCCTTCCTGCACTAATCCCTGTGATCATGCTGAATATTTCAACATGAGTTTTGGTTCTTCCAAACTCCAGAATATACTGACCCAGCCCCATCAATCTATCCATTCTGGAATCGAGCAGCCTCACTCACAAAAGGGAGGCCATTTGTTCAGTTACACCTGTGCCCACTTCTTGTAAACAGCAACTCGGTACTAATCCCATTCATTTCCGGTCAATGTGACCTCTTCTGGTGACCTCCCAGAGCAGCAGAGCACAAATACATCTCTCAGCAAGTGTACAGTCCAGTCAGTTGAACTTGGCTAAGTACAAACTTCCCAATCGCCATTTCCTTCACATTGCAGTCTGCATTTCCTACATGGCTCGTCCATGGTTCTACATGTTGGTGAAAATGGTCAAGAGCATCAGGGTCCTAGGAGGGACGATCACCAACAATCTGTCCTGGACCACCCACATCAATGCTGCAGTCAAGAAAGCATACCAACATCTCTACTTTCTCAGGAGGCTAAGGAAATTCGGCATGTCTGTAAGGACACTTACCAATTTTTATTGATGCCCCATAGAAAGCATTCTATCCAGATGCATCACGGCTTGGAATAGCAACTGCTCTGCCCAGGACCATAAGAAACTACAGAGAGTTGTGAACACAGCCCAGTCCATCACACAAGCCAACCTTCCATCCATTGACTCCATTGGCACTTCTCACAGCCTTGAGAAGGCAGCCAACATTATTAAAGACCCCTCCCACCCCGGTTATAATCTCTTCCGACCTCTTCTGTCGGGCAGAAGGATCAAAAGCTTAAACACGTGTACCAACAGATTCAAGAACAGCCTCTTCCCTGCTGTTATTAAACTTCCGAATGGACCTTTCAAATTTTAAACATTGATTTCACTTTGTGCATCTTCTCTGCAGTGACAACACTGTATTCCTTGCTCTGTTCTATTGCCCTAATACACTTTGTATGACATGATCTGCCTGTTCTGCAAACACAACAAGACTTTTCACTGTACCCAGGTACATGTGTCAATAATAAATCAAATCTGTACAAAAAGGTAAACGTACAGGAAAGGGCAAGGCTTTCTACTTGATCACTGAAATTTCTGTAACTATTCTAAAGGTCAGGTCAAGCCATATCTAGATTGGAATATCTAAGTATAAAACAGGGGAAGAATGAAGGAACATGAGACCAGAGCACAGAACCTGGACAGACCCACCCCACCGAAGAATTTTGGGCAAGTTCAAAACAATTCCTGTTCCATGGTTTGCACATGCCTTTTGGAACAAATTGTCTTCATTGACAAGGACCGTGTTTAGAATGAAGTGGGAATGCATCATTGTCGGCTTACCATATACGCCGGTGTCCAAGAGCTGGAGAAATTGTTTGACTGCACTCTGCATTTCCTCTTTGGTCAGGTCCATCAGGGAAACCACCCGGAAATTTAACTGGTGCAACAGGTTCGACAGTTCAAAGACATCGATTACAGTGGCTAACAGCTTGGGGTGATTTACATAGTTCATGTTCCCGATCAGCAGTGCTACTTTGTCAGTCGCTGAAATACATGGAGTGAAACATTATCAGTGGATTGCCGCTGCGAGACAGCACAGGTATAGAATTAGAGACCAGTGCAGTACCGAGGCAGCATGCTGGAGCAAGACCGACACCTCAGCTTTTAGTCAGAAAGCTGCTGGATCCGAGCTGGAGATCCTGGCTGACAGAGGAGTACAGGGCAGAGAGGGAGTGCTGCATTGTCCGAGGGACTGTCTTTTGGGCAAGATAACTGACATCTTACATTCTCTAGGAGGTGGACAAAAAAAAAAAATCCCGTGACACCATCCAGTTAAAGAGCAGCGAAATGGTCTGCAGTGCCCCAGCTAACATTCATCTCTCAAACAAGCAGATTCTCTGATGGGTACCACATTCCTGCTTAAGAGGGCTTGCTGTACACAAATTGGCTGCTGTTTTTCCCACATTGCTAATGTCAAAGAGTGATTCACTAGCTATAAGAGTATTTTGGGACATTCTGAAATTGTGAAAGGAGCAAGCTAAAAGGTAATTTCTTTTAGGCTCAACGCGCTCACTTAGAATCCCTATTGTGTGGGAGCAGGTCATTCGGCCCATCGAGTCTGCACCAACCCTCTGGACAGCATTCACACAGACGCACCCCCTCTTACCCTATCTCTGTAACCCAGCATTTCCAATGGCTAATCCACCCAGCCTACACATCCCTGGACACTGGGCAATTTAGCACAGACAATCCACCCACCCTGCCCATATTGGGACTGTGGTTGGAAACCAGCGCACCTGGAGGAAACCCACGCAGACACGGGGAGAATGTGCAAAATCCAGACAGACAGTCGTCTGAGGCTGGAATTGAACCCAGGTCCCTGGCGCTGTGAGCCAGCAACGTTAACCACTGAGCCACCATGCCACCAATGCATTGATCAAGTTCTACTGACTGGTATAAGGCCATTCTTATGAATGGTGGATTCTAGAATCACAATCTCCTGTGAGAGCACGAGGAAATGGTGTCCTGTGACCCATTATCATCTTGTTTTAATAAGACACAGGAAGTAGAATGTAACTCAGTGTCACAAGCTGTGCAATTCTGCTGGAATGCAAGTGGATGACCACAGAATCTTGTTCAGACAGAATTTCAACATCAATGGTCCTTTTTTGTGGAATACCCTGTGGCTCAGCTGCTGCCTGCTCTCAATACCAAGCATACTAGGACAAAGTCCCATTGTCAGTTCATCGCAGTGTCACATTTGCCCCCAGACAAGGAAAGGATTAGACCAATAGGCTTCTCTATTGCTGAATAAAGGATTGTTTTTTTTTCCTTTTTGCCTTGCACCTATCAGGACAAATGCAAGAATGCCAAAGTTTAAACAATTGCAGCAATTTATACTGCAGGAGAAAAAGGTGCTGATTGGTTGGCAAGTTGACTCTGATTAGCCAAGGCATTACCATTGAGAAAGCTGTAGATTCCTCAAGCTCTGGCAGCACATTTCTCTTTTAGGAACAGTCAAGCTCTGCACCACCGAACACACCTTTCTTGTCAGCTTCTTGTAAACCATTAAATTACGAGAAAAAGGAAAGTAGCACGGGACAAAGAAAAAAATGGATGAGGTTCTGGAAGGAACAAAAGCAGAAATTACTGGAGAAACTCAGCAGGTCTGGCAGCATCTGTTTCCACAGTTTCTTCCTGCTGCATTTCTTCAGTGATTTCTATCTTTGTTCATTTCAGATCTCCATCATCCAGGAATGAGGCTCATTTGGACCATAATGTCCAGTAAAGATCTATTTGGCCAAATGGCTAATGGTTTCTGTGCAATACATACTCAATAATGGGTAACCGTGAATAGCTTACAAAAACATGTATTTGAACTTATGTGACATAATTTTTTGTTGGAGTTATAGCAGTTTCTGGTAGAAATGTCACGTCGTGACGTGTTTTATTAAGATTTGACCATTGTAAAACGCAAAAGACACTTGTAAATAACTAAAGCTAGTGCTGACATACCACACAGTCTCACTTCTTGAGGTGTATCTGAAAGGAAAAAAGAGACAGAATGCATAAGAACAAAATGAAAGATCACATCGTTTGCTTTTAATAAAACAGAAGGACTGTTGTGAGCAGATTCATAGAATCCCTACAGTGCAGAAAGAGGCCATTTGGCCCATTGACTATGCACAGGCTATTCGAAATGCATCCCACCCATACCCAAACCCAAACCCAAACCCAAACCCCCTGCCCTATCCCTGTAACCCTGCATTTCCCATGGCTAATCCACCTAGCCTGCACATCTCTGGACTGTGGGAGAAAACCATAGCACCCGGAGGAAACCCACGCAGACACAGGGAGAATGTGTGAACTCCTCACAGACAGTCGTCCGACGATGGAATCGAATCCAGGTCCCTGGTGCTGTGAGGCAGCAGTGCTAACCAATGAGCCACTGTACCGGCCTTACCAAATGTAAAAGTTCAGCTATCATTTCATTGAACAGCACAGCAGACTTCAATCGTATTCCTGCCCGTACGTCTGAACATTCTTAACCCTTTGCTGGCCTCGAATTCAACACAACATACAATGTGTTAGGACAGCAACTATTTCAGGACTAACAGTCCATTGTGAGTAACATGGACGGAAGAAATAATGACCTTTCAAATCCACAATCACTACCCATCCAGAAGGATGAGGGTCGCAAATACATGGGAACATCACCACCTCTGAGATGCTCTCTAAGCCACTCATCATCCAAAATTGAAAATACAATCGCCATTCCTTCAGCCTCACTGGGTCAAAATCCCGGAATTCCATCGCTAACAGAACTAATCCTATACCACACGGACTGAGCAGGTCAAGAAGGCAGCTCACCACCAGCTCCCCACCAGCTCCTCGACAGTAACTAGGGACGGGTAATAAATGCTGGCCCAGCCAGCGGCACCCACTATCCTGAACAAATTAAAGAAAGAAGTCTGACAACAGAATGATACAGATTTGTCAGTCACTTTTGGAGGGAAAGTTAGGGTTTTCCGAGCTAATTGGACACTCAACTCGATATGTAATACCCAAGGGAGAGTTCAGATGTTATCACTCTTGTTAAATTTTGTGTGTACAGTGACCCATTGGAGAGGATTTTTTTTCAACAATAAATGGATCAACATCTCATCAATTTAAATAATGCATTTTCATAATGAATGCATAGGCCATTAGGCAGGGGTTTTCTACATGGAAATTGCGCTTTGCTGTTCAGGGCTGGTTACAAGATTGGGCATTTTTTTGTTTGTTCCTGACAGGTTTTAGTGGGAACAGTGTCTTGCTACACAGACACAGACGCGCACACATAGACACAGACGTTGTTCCCAGCATACTCAGCCCTACCTGGCTTTCGGCACACAGACGGCGACTTTGCTGTTACTTTCCTTTCTCTAGAGCCTGGAAAGAAACCACTACTCATTATTTCATCGGCAATGAGATACTAAGACCAGCCCAGACTGTTAACAAAACCTCAGCGAGGAAGCCCCAGTGAACCCTATGATCCTCAGCATGTTGAAAATTAGGGACGATCCAGTTGCAGCATTTAGCAGAACATCAAAAGAGACAATGAGATAGAGTCATACAGCATGGAAACAGACCCTTACCCGGCAGCATCCTGGTAAATCTATATTGCCATTACTTCAGTCTTGCTGGTCAAAATCCTGGGACTCACTCCCTTACATTATTATGGGTCAACCTACACCCCAGGGGATTGCAGCGTTTCAGGAAGGCAGCTCACCACCACCTCCCCAAGAACAAATAGGTTCAGGCAATAAATGCTGGCACTGCCAGCGATGCCCACCTCCTGTGAACAAATGGATAATGAATAATAACGAAACTGGAAGTTCCTCCTGTGAAAACTTGTTCAGGTTTGGGTTAAACAGAAATTTCACATTTGACATTGACTGATTTGATACGACTGTTAAAGGTTAAGGGACCAATATGACCAGTCGGGCTTTAAAATACAGACCAGCCATTATCAAACAGAGATGTGGAGCAGGCTGAAGGGGCAGGGGTCCCTCCCTGGATACTATTAGATACAATCCCTGACCAGATTGTGGGGACAACGGTCTGTCTGTGCTACTCATAAGAATCCTGTGTGAAGTGAGCAGGAGCATTGCTTGCTGCATTCATTGGGCTATAGGTCTACTGGACAAAAGCAAAATTAACTTAGCACAAGGGACTAAAGGACTCTTGGGTTTGGCAACAAAACAAATTGGGCAGTTGAAAAATTGGACCTGATCCATGCTCTAGTTTCAGATGAAAGTGCCAGACAGACCTTTTCCGATTTTTGAAATGAGTCTTTAAAATACTGCTTTACCAAAACCTATTGAAAATGCCCAAACAAAAAGTCATTCTTACCTGCCACTCGGAGGGGAGGCAATGCTACTGCAATGGGAATGATTTCAACTGTAAGAGATATATAGATGCAAACTAATTTTTAAAAGTTGGAAATGGTTCACAGACATGTCCACAATAGGAATATCAGATAACGCATTAGTCACAGGACAGAACTGACCAGGCTACAAGAATGCAGCTATTTTAGGCCATACACCTCCAAGACAAAGCAACTGTTGGATCAGTACCCCATCCGTCACCTTCAACATTCATTGTCTTCACCCCTGGTGCACAGTAACAGCAGAGTGTACCATCAATAAGATGTCACCAAGGCTCCGGTGACAGCACCTTCCTTCATGGATGGACAAAGACAGCAGGTGCATAGATACACCACCAGCATCTGCAGGTTCCCCACCGAGTTCCACATTATTCCCCCACTTCTTCATTTTCACTGGGTCTGAAGCTAACAGCAGCTTCAGGAATGGCCTTCCTTCACCACATGGCGTACCATAAGGCAAGGCAGACCATCATCAATTTCTCAACAGCATTTAAAAGTGTCCATACCCAAAGAACGAAGGAAACATGAAATGTGTGAGAGTGAGTGAGTGTGAAACAGTGAAAGCGAGAGCGCGAGACAGAGAGAGAGTGAAAGATTTGTTGCACATTCCTAGCTGCCTTTGACCTGCTTTCTTGCAACAATGCTGTCCACATGCTGTAGACAGACCCACAATATCACTAGGATCTTGACCCAGCAACAGTGAAGGAACAGTGATATATTTCCAAGTCAGGACAGTGAGTGGCTTTGGAGAGGAACTTGCAGGGGGTTCCCATATACCTGCTGCCCTTGTCCTTTTAGATAGAAGTGATCGTAGGTTTGGAAACTGCAGTCTAAGCAGCTATAGTGAGCTGCTGCAGAGCATTTTTAAATCAAAGGCAGATAGATTTACATTAAACCAGGGGGTGAAAGGTTATCGGGGCCAGGCAGGAATGAGGATTTGATGTTTTGACCAGATCAGTCATGATTGCATTGAGTTGTGGACCAGACTTGAAAGGCTGAATGGCCTTCCTATGCCTCTCATTTGTATAAAAAGGTGTGAGGGCATAAAAATACGGCATCACAAATATCAGTTCAGTTACCAATCATCATTGTCATCCTAGCTCGTAGTATGTATGCCTTTCATTTTAATGTGAACACGACATTTCTCTGACACCAAATCCTAATAGAAGGGTCCAGGGAAAATAGAAGAGCTGCTGAGATAGTAAGACTATCTCCTGCTAACTGTTGGTGGTCAGCTAATGGGAAAAGGCCCAATAGGATGCTAATGTGGAAACACTCCAGGACTGAATTTGAGAAAGAACAGCCTTCGATGACTGAAATTTATAGACATCTTCCCAGTCTGTGAGTAAATACGGTGAGCTAGAGAATTTTTGATGCCCTTATGGGAGAAGCTGGTGAAGTACATTAGGAAGTGGGGTTTATTGGGAAGATTAGATGAAGAGGTGTGGGTCATGGTTTACTAACAGCATCAACATGAGTGGAATGGCTCCTTTCTGTGCTGTATGCCCCACAGAATTCTGGGTGGTTCTCTGGTGCGCAACGCTGTGCCAGTATTTACCTACACTCAGGTCAGCAGCAGAGCTCCAACACTCTCCTTGGTCATTGGTGACCGCACACAGGTACGTCCCGTAATGCCTCATCTCAACTGCGGCTATCTAGACAGAGAGAAAATGAAATATACCTTCATTAAACAACTAGTGTGGACACATCGTGTTTGTGCAATGTTGTTCTTGAGCGATGTCTTTCTAAAAATGAGAAGGTGATCCCAAAAATGGCACAGGTCATGGCACTGTAGGCCTCACAAGCCACTCAGTTCAAGGGCAATTAGGGATACACAACAAATACTGGCCTTGTCACCAACACTTCGAGCCCACGAAAGAACAAATATAAATAAGAGACCACATCTGGAGTCAATAGTAGTAGTTCTGGGAAGAACAACTTGGGAAGGACATGTAGGCCTCAGAAGGCATTTGAGGGTACCTGCACTCCAAGGGTTAAACGATGAGGAGACAATATATGAACTCAGGGCTTGTGCTGTGGAATGCCGAAGATCAAGCAGTGATTGCATGGGAGGTTTTCAAGAAATTAGGCGGGAAAGACGGGTCAGAATAGGAATAACCGATTCTTCTGGCTGGTGATGCTAGAACTGGTGGCTGTAGACTCAAAATTAAAGCGAGGCTTCTCAGGAATGAAGTTGGGAAACAGTTCTCCAGGCAAAACAGAGAAATAATTTTTCCATGTGATTGTTAAAACTATCTTTCTAATTACACAACTGATCAGCAATCTCAACGCAACCTATAAAAATATTTAATTTGAAATGACACAGCAATACAATTGGGGTTCTTAGGCGGGGTCTATGGGCATTGTAGAACAGAATCAAATAAGTTTCACAATGTGATTGGAAGCTCCACGCTTGCCTTTATTGGTCAGAGCACTCAGTATAGTATTGGGATGTCATTTTACGGCTGTACAGGTCATCGTTGAGACCACTTTTAGAATACTGCATACTATTCTGGTCACTCTTCTACAGAAACGATGTTGTTGAACTTGACAGAGTGCAGAAAAGATTTCCAAGAATGTTGCCAGGACTGGAGGGTTTGAGCAAAAGGGAGAGGCTGAATAGGCTAGGTATAGATCTGGATGAACACAGCAGGCCAAGCAGCATCAGAGGAGCAGGAAGGCTGACGTTTCGGACCTC